AACAAAAAAAAACCATGCTGATAAAGCTGGATGTTAGTGTGCACACCTGTAATCTGCACGTGAGTCTCAGCAGGACTGCCATGAGTTTGAGACCACACTTGGCTACGTGTCAAGGGTCAGACCAGATACATGCCAGGGATACATGGTTAGGCATGGTTTTGACAGAAACAAGCCCAGGGAATCCTAGCAATGGTGGCACATGCATTTAATCCCAGCACTGAGAAGGAGGGGGGCAGAGGCAGGTGGATCTCTGAGTTCAAGGCCAGCTTGGTCTACACAGCAAATTCCAAGACTGTTGGGGGCTGTGGACCCAGACCCTGAATTTCCTGTAAACAATTTGTTATGCTTGCAGTTGCTCTGAGCAAAACAACTTGTTTTCCAGTGTTTGCAGCTGCTCTGAGCACGAGACCATCAGGAGTTCTTGATGGCCGGGGAGGGGTTTCTGGTGGGTTTGGCTGGGGCGTGGCTATCAGTTAAGGATCCATAGGTAAGCGGCTCTGGTACACAATAAAGAGGGCATTCCTGTTTCAAGGATGGCCCTTGTCTCTGTCTGTGTGTCTTTGTGTGTTTAAATCTCCAGGCCCTTGCCCGGCTTGCAAATGGTCCTTAGTGCAGGCGCCGCAATACAGGAATCGTACCATAGTATGCGTAGTACAGACGGCACACAAGACAGCCAGGGCTCTTACACAGAGAAACCGTATCTCAAAAACCAAAACAACAACAAAAACAAGCCTAGGGTATAGAGTTCGTTGATGGAATGTCTGTCTACCTTTCGTGAAGTCTCCTTGACTTCAATCCCCAGCACAGCATAAACCAAGCATGGTGACACAAGCCTATAATCCCAGCGCTTCTGGAGTAGAGGCAGGGGAGTCAGGAGTTCAAGGCCAGTCCGAACTACAGTTGAGTTTGTTAGTTTTTGTTCCGCCCCCATTTTTCTTATTTATTAATCTATTTATCTGTTTTAGGGCTTCTATTGCTGTGAAGAGACATCACTTGTTTTTGTTCTACAAGACAGGGTTTCACTGTGTAGCCCTGGCTGTCCTGGAACTCACTCTGTAGACCAGGCTGGCCTCTGCCTCACGAGTGCTGGGATTAAATGCATGCATCGCTACTGCCCAGCTTTCGGTCAGATCTTACAGAGGCATTTCCTCAATTGAGGTTCTTTCCTGATGACTCTAGCTTGTGTCAAGTTGACACACAAAACCAGCCAGTGTACCTTGGAAGCTTCTGTGCCAGTGCCAGCCCAGCTCTTCACTCTTGCATGAGTCATGACTCCGTTCTTTCTGCTGTCACACACCTGGTTTTCTTTTTTAAGCATTTTTTTTTTTTGAGTGGGGAGAAGACACGACAGTTCAAACTAATTAAGAAAAACATTTTTGGGGTTAGGGAGATGACTCAGAAGCACCGGCTGCTATTGCAGAGGACCTGGCTTTGGTTTCACAGTGGCCCACAACTGTCTCTAACTCCAGTTCCAGGGAATGGGGCCGAAGCCCTCTTCTGACTCCAAGGCTCCAGGTGCACATATATACATGCAGGCAGAACACACCTGCACACCCAATAAAGATAAACAAATCTTTAATAAAGAAAAATGCTTTTAAAACTGAGGCCTTTTATTTTCATCTCTCACACCACGAATTGGCAAGGAATGAGCTCCTCCCTCTTAGCTCTCACACGCACGCTTCTCTGGGTGGAACAGCTGGTACTTCAGTGGGACCCAGGTACCTCTCTCTTTGGTTTATGTTTTCCTTTCCCTGTTTCAGGAAGTCATTTCAGACCATGCTCAGCCTGCACACTGATTCTCTCAGAAGCTGGGCCTCAACTCACTTGTCCACAATGCCAACAGCACTGGGTGACCGTGTAGACTCTGCCAGTTTTGCCATGGTGACACTTCCGGGGCGTCCCTCTTTGACCCACACTTGTTTCTTTGATGTCTGCGGTATGGCTCTTCTTGGAAAGCCACGTACATGTCCTTTAAGAGGCTTAGTGAGCTGTATTAGGTGCCTCCCTTCTCTGCCACTGGGAGACGTTCTGTCTCAAAAAAAGAAAGGGAAGGGAAGGACATGACTGCTTCTAGGTGTGGTGGAGGAGAAGGTTTATTGTGCTGTGTCGGAGAGGAGAGCATAGCCAGAGGCAGGGACATCTAGGAGAGTCCAGAGTGGACATGACCAGACTGAGCTGGGCCATGCGGGGAGAGGCCAAAGGCACAAGAGGAGTGGGTAGCCAAAGTGGCTGGATAATATAAGGAAAAGCAGTGAGTTCTTTTAACCACTGACTATCTCTCCAGCCCCCTTGCTGAAGTTTTAAATGAAATTTTTGGTTGGGTAAGTGAGTTTGTGTGTGTGTGTGTATGTTTTGGAATTGAACCCAGGGCTCTAGCAATGCTAGCCAAGCACTCAATCACTGAGCAACATCCTTAGCACAAACCCTCGCAAGTCAATTAAAGTCCTTTTGCCGGGCGGTGGTGGCGCACACCTTTACTCCCAGCACTCCAGAGGCAGAGGCGGGCGGACGTCTAGGAGCTCAAGGTCAACCTGGTCTACAAGAGCTAGTTCCAGGACAGGCTCCAAAACTACAGAGAAACCCTGTCTCGAAAAACAAAAAACAAACAAAAACAAAAAGATTAAAGTCCTTTCTGGGGACACAAGGGAATGCCGACTTCAAATGTAATTTCTCCTGATAAATTGGTGTCTCAAGGCTGTGCTTTGGACACCAGATGCCCACACAGCAGGAAACTGATTTTACAGTGGACCATGCAGGTTGTCCACAAACTCAGTTCAGTCTGCCCGTGGTGCTTGGTTGATGCCAGGCAGAGCCCCAGGTTTCCTCTTCTCACAGCTGCCCTCCATGGGTACCCTCCAGTCACTAACACGAAGAACCCGGGCAATGCTAACTCTTACTAATTCACCACAGAGAATCTAGATAAGGGACAGAGGGCAGGGCTTCTGGGAAGGGGTGGAGACACTGTGCCTTCTCCAGGAACACCAACTTCCAGGAGCCTTCCTACGTTTGGTTTCGGAAGCTTCGGGAACTCTGAAATTTGGTTTTTTGTTTTGTTTTGTTTTTTGTATTGGAGAAGTCCTCTGGTAAACACAGTTAAATCACAACCCTGAGGATTTGATTGGATGAACAGGACGTTAACAGCCCGGGTGGGGACTGCCAGGAGAGCCTGTTAGGGCACCTTCCTCAGCCCAGACACCAGGTAGGGCCCTCTGGTTGGTCAGGCCCCTGAATTCTTTTATGATTGGCTCCTAGATACTAGGTGGGGAAGATTAGAATTTAAGGCAGGAGGCTCCTTAGCTCAAGGTCACCTTCCCTTCTGCAGACTGAAGGGCAGCCTGGGCTACCTGATCCAGTCTTATAACAAAACTGTCTATGAGTTGCCCTAAGAAAGATTTTAATTTCTTCTGCCTTCCTCAGGAAGGAATTAGTTGGCGGGGGAGAAAGACAGACACTAGCTCGCAATCCCCGAGGTTCACAAATTCCAAGCCTGCCTAGGTTACGTAGGGAGACTGTCCTAAGTCAGGGTCCCAGTAAATTGTCCAGGCTACCCTCAAACTCCGAGCTCCTTCTGCCTAAGGCTCCTTGATCCCTGTGGTTACAGGTGTGTGCAGCTGTGTCACGTGTTTCAGTCTAATTTCACAGGTGTTTGGGCACCCAACTAAGCCGGGTAGACCACTGGAGATCCTAGGAGAAGAGTCCTCTGGTCCCTGCTTCCTGGTCAGCTGAATGCCCAATGCACCATGCCCAGAAATACTTGCTATTACCCAGTCCTCTGAGAAGATTTGGTGTGGGTTTATTGTTGCCTTTTGAGACAGGGCCTACAGCTCTGAAGTACCCCAGGCTGGCCTCAGGCTAGCTATATAGCCAAGGATAACCTTGAACTTCTGATGTTTTTTTTTTGTTTTGTTTTTTTGTTGTTGTTTTTTGCCCTTCCACCTTTACAGAGGTGGGCTGTGGAGGGAACTCCAGGCTTCCTGCAGGCCAGGCAAGCACCCTACCTGCTGAGCTACAGCCCTAGCCCTGCCCGGCCTTGTCCTGTTCACTCCTGCCCCCACAGACTACAGGCAAGCTACCTATCAGAGGCCAACACTGGGGGGAGGGGGGAATAGGACCCAAGCCCCAGAAAATGCGACTATGGTCTAAACGGGTGTATGTGGCATCACACGGGTAACCATGTTTTCTCCTAAACAACGAGACAGGACACTGTTCTTTGTAGAGGTGGAGATAAAGCCGGCAATTCCAGATCCTAATCTCAGCGCAAGGCAGAAGGAACCGGTGCGTTTTCAAGGGACGCTTGGGTCTGTGACCCCAACGATACTACCCTGGGATACTGCGCGTCTCCGTGTACCCCTCCCACGTAGTCACCCTCCCCCACGCCCTGCTTTAGGAGGCAGACCAGGCCCGCAGCCAGGGAAGAAGATGGATCAAGCTTCCGGGAAGTCTCTCTTCGAAGCTGAAAGCAGGACCCATAGCCTCAAGAGTCCCCAGTCATCCTGCCAGTAGTCACATCCCTGCCCCAAGGCCTCTCTCTCTCTCTCTCTCTCTCTTGGTTTTTTGGAGACAGGTTGTCTCTGTGTAAAGAAGCCCTAACTATTCTGGAACTTACTATGGAGACCAGGCTGGCCTCGAACTCACAGAGATCCGCTTACCTTTGCTTCCTCTCTGGAGTGTTGGGATTAAAGGCGTGCGTCACCACGCCCGGCCGATTTTCTAGAAACTCAGACCCCAAGTCTGACTGGGGGGTTTCGGTCACCCAGTCCTAACTTAACAACTCTGGGCAATTCTCAGCAAGTGCTTTTTGCTCCGGGCAAAGACCCTTAAGCTTTTGGTCGCCGGCCGCTGGGCTCCTTCAGGCTCGGGACGCAGGGGATCAGTGTAGGGGGCAGAGTCGCGATTCCCTTTGCAGCCGGTCACCCTTCCCCCCTCCCCGCGGGCTTTTGCACACGACGCGCGGCGGGCGGCTTCACACGGGGTGGTGAGGGCCGGGGATAAAGCGGGCGGGCGCGGGGCGCAGCGGCGGGACCTGAGCGGAAGGTGAGTGCACGCTGCCATCGTCCGGCGCGCAACTTCGAGGGCGCACTGTGGGAGAGGCGGCATGCCGACCTTGGACAAGCAGAACCTGCTGGAGAGCACGAGCGGAGCCCGGTAAGTTTAAGCCCCAAGGGGCGGGAATTTGGGTAGCATCACAGGCACCTCCTCTTTGGCCGTCCTGGCTGTGTTTGGTCCGGCGGGGGCTTGAACCTGGGATCCCCCCAGAGGGATGGGATGAAGCAAGGGAAAGAGGAAATTGGCGACAGCCTCGTAGCCCCGGAGAACACCTGTCTCACCTGACCAAGCATACAGATCCTGAACACTGCCTGCTGGGGCGCCCCAGTGGAACACAGTCGGGTGCCTGGAACCCCGCCTTCACTCCAGCACTTTGATCCCAGGCAACCCTGAGGTGGAGAGGCCCTGTGCCCTCGGGTGCGGTGCGCTACATTCCAGGCTACTGTCTTGAGCCAAACTCTGCTCTTTCTCTGCGCTCGACTGGACGGCCTGCCCATTGGCTAGTTCGTAAAGACTGTCCTCTAGACCTGAGAAGGGGTGGAGGAGGAGGGAACGACTTAGAACAAGGTCCCAAAACTCACTTCCCCAGCATCCCCCTGTATCATTGGCTTCTTACCTCTGACCACCTGGCAGGCACTGTTGTTAACTTTTTCTGGAAACAACGGGGGGGGGGGGGGTCAGCAATACTCCTAGAGACTGACTCTGTGCTCTCCCACCCCCCCTTCCCCCCTACCCCACCCCCACCCCTGACCCCGGCTGAGCGTTTCTCTCCTCCTTGCACCTCCAGGTCATACTTTGGATCTCTGTGGAAGAGTGAGGCTGGCAGGGCCCCTCCTGTGAACCTGCCTGCTGTTGAGCTGACCATCCAGAGCAACCATTATTGCCATGCCCAGAAAGATGCTGGTAGTCACCCTGACTCCAAGAAGCAGATGGCCCGGCGCAAGCTCTACGTGGCCTCAGCCATCTGCCTGGTGTTCATGATTGGAGAAATCATTGGTAAGGCCATGGGTGCATTAACAGTACATCTGACCATGCAGAGACCATGAACCCAGTGTGTGTCTTCCAGGGCTTAGAGTCTCACCAGCCAGCGTACAGAACTAGGGGAGTTAACTCCTTGGGGGAACTTCATTCCCGGCTCGCACTTTGCAGGTGGATACCTGGCACACAGCCTGGCCATTATGACGGATGCCGCCCACCTGCTCACGGATTTTGCCAGCATGCTCATTAGTCTCTTCTCCCTCTGGGTGTCTTCCCGACCGGCCACCAAGACCATGAACTTTGGCTGGCAGCGAGCTGGTAAGGACCCTCGTGGGCCACAGACAGGGTTGATCCAAGAGAGAAAGCCCAGGTCAGAATAGAGTTTTTGTTTGGAATTTTCAGTTTTTTGAGACGGCACCTCTAGTAGCCCAGGCTGGCTGAGATTCCTGATCCTCCTCAAGTCCCCACCTCCCAAGTCCTGCAATTCCAGACATGCGCCACACCCAGCTAGTTTGTTTTTGTTTTCATTTTTTTTTATAAACAGGATGTTGATAGGTAGTCCACGCTGGCTTCTAACTCACTTGTCTAACCCAGGCTGGTGTCAAACGCAGTAACTATACTGTCACAACCTCCCAAGGACTGGAATTGAGGCCTGTGCCAAGACAGGAATGCCAGGAGTAAGGCCGCAAAAGCAGCTTCTGCGGTGAAGGGGGTGTCTGCTTTGGCCTCTGGCCCCCGGGAACTCCCAGTGTGATGGGACAGACTTGGTGCCAGTTATCTGGGAGTTAATGGAGAAGCAAAGTCCACCTTTCTTGCTTAGGAAATAGTGGCCCAGAACAAAAGACAATAGCACTGGCATTGCCTGTCACTGTGGATGCCCTGTGGGGTAGGGAAAGGTCAGTAAACACCGCCTTAAGCTGTTAGTTCCCTTCTGGATGGCACTGTCCCTCTCCTGTCCGGAGAGATGGCCCCGTGTCCTCAGCCTCCATTTGTCAGATGAGCAAAACAAGGAACTGGAGGTGGCTCAGCCGCTGGCATCCACTGCTCCTGGCTGTAACTTAACTCCAGCTCTGGGGAGTCTGGGCCCTCTTCTGTTACCTTTAATTAAATTAGGAGTGACCTTACCTTGATTTGGGTGGGAAAATGAGGTAAATGCCCTTAATCCCCGTACAAGGGAGGCAGAGGCAGGTGAATCTCTTGAGTTCAAGGCCAGCCTGATCTGTGTGGTGAGCCCACAAAAAACATAAATATCAAATTCAGGCAGTCCTTTTGCCTTAGCAGCCCACATTCTAGAATTAGAGATGTACACCGCCATGCTCGCTATAATATAATATATATGTGTATTATATATGTGTGTATATGTGTATATATATATATATATGTTTCCTCCTATGTTCAGCAAACAAGGTTGAGCTAAATGATTCTAGATATGAGTTCTCATATATGAGTTGGCGGGATGAGGCATGTCTTCAGGAAACACCAAAGACACCCAGATCCTGACCGCAGTGGGGAGGGACTTACATGGAGGGAGTAGGCCTTCCCACCCTTAGGGCCCAGGCTGAGGTTGTTCCTGTGGTTGGGCTCTTATCCAGAGATCCTCGGAGCCTTGGTGTCTGTGCTGTCCATCTGGGTGGTAACTGGGGTGCTGGTGTACCTGGCTGTGCAGCGCCTGATTTCTGGAGATTATGAGATCAAAGGGGGCACCATGTTAATCACGTCAGCCTGCGCTGTGGCTGTGAACATCATGTGAGTGTGGCCCCAGTTCACCCTCCCCATCCCCATGTACAAACCTCCCCTCCCATCCCTGTGTGCAAACCTCCCCTCCCCCATCCCTGTGTGCAAACCTCCCCTCCCCCATCCCTGTGTGCAAACCTCCCCTCCCCCATCCCTTGTGCAAACCTCCCCTCCCCCATCCCCGTGTGCAAACCTCCCCTCCCCCCATCCCCTTGTGCAAACCTCCGGCAGCTCCCAGTGGTAGGAGTCCATGCTCCCCTCCCAACACAGAAGTTCCCTGGTATACATCGGCTCTCCTTTAGACCTTAGGCCAGGGACATGGGAGGTTATAGGTCTGCACCTCTGCCATTTCAAACCCCCTCCCCCATGTTCCATGTTGGAGAATAAACTTGGAGGCTACCCACAGCAAAGGGGATGCTTCTGGTTCATGCTGGACCAAAGGGCAAGTCAGGCTGGCGTGGCTAGAACTAGTCTCAGTAAAAGAGAGGGAGGGTGGGTAAATCACAGGTTTGGGCCTTCTGTCTCCTTGGCTCTCTTGTCTCAGGTTCCCCTCCTGTACCATGAGGAGATGAACTAGATGACTTCCTTGGTGCCCCCTTGCTCTGAAACTCAGCTTTGGGGTGTTGCACCCAGTCAGTCTTCCACTGTGGGCAAAACCCTGTGGCTATGAGCTAAGGCTGTAGGACTAGATTCCTACGCCTAAGAGGGTCACTGAGTGATGGGGCCTTCAGAATTTCACCCTCGAGAGGCCAGCCCTAATGGGTAGCCTGTGCCTAGGTGGCTTGAAACCTTTGCTACCTCATTGAGTCTTGTCTGTTTTCTTAGAATGGGGTTGGCCCTTCATCAGTCTGGACATGGGCACAGCCATGGACATGGGCAAAGCCATGAACATGGGCACAGCCATGGTAACCAAAGCCATGAAGACAGCCAACAGCAGCAGGAGAACCCCAGTGTCCGAGCAGCCTTCATCCATGTGATTGGGGACCTTCTGCAGAGTGTGGGTGTCCTGGTGGCTGCCTACATTATATACTTCAAGGTCAGAGTGGGCACGGGGAGGGAGGTGGGGCAGTGCCTAGCTCTGTGCAGGGACTTTTCCCCCGTGCTATGCCCCCTCCAGTTTAGGATGAGAAGGTAGAGAAAGGGAAGGAATATTTAATACTGAGTGCTGGCTCCTTTTACCTCTGCAACAAGCCCAAAAGGTAGGCAGTTGTGCTTTATGCATTCAGAAAGGTTGTTACTTGAACCGTTTCCCAGCCCAGGACTGTGGGCTGCTGAAGCCCAGGCATTGCCTATCACACAGAGGCAGTGAGATGTAGTATGTGTGTGGCTGAGGTCTCATAGGACCTCAGTTTCCCCATCTATAAAATGGGAATGGCGAATCAGATGCTGACATTCCTCTTTAGCTCTGCCTGTGCGTTAGCTCTTTAGGAAGAGATGTGTCCTGAGGTCACCTGGGTGCAGAATAGAGTAGAAAATTCAAAGACAAGGCTAGAGTGAGTCCCATGCTCCCCCTGAAAAGACCTCCCTGATACTGTGCTGGTAGGAAGGAGAGGTGGATGCTGGGAGATGATAGGGAGACCCAGGTGGATGCTGGGAGATGATAGGGAGTCCCAGGTGGATGCTGGGAGATGGGGAGATCCAGGTGGATGCTGGGACATGGGGAGACCCAGGTGGATGCTGAGAGATGACAGGGAGACCCAGGGGGATGCTGGGAGATGATAGGGAGACCCAGGTGGATTCTGGGAGATGGGGAGGCCCAGGTGGATGCTGGGAGATGGTAGGGAGACTCAGGTGGATGCTGGGAGATGGTAGGGAGACCCAGGTGGTTGCTGGTGAGCCCCATGTCTGTCTCCTTTTCCTGCAGCCTGAGTACAAGTATGTGGACCCCATCTGCACCTTCCTCTTCTCCATCCTGGTCTTGGGGACAACGTTAACCATCTTGAGAGATGTGATCTTGGTTCTCATGGAAGGTACCTCAGACCTAGAGTTTTGGGGTTTGGGGGTGGGGTGTCTGCAGATGTCTGTTCATCTGTTGTGTGTAGAAACCAGAGGTTGACAGTGGGGTATCTTCCTCACCCTGATTTTTGTTGTTTTGTTTCAAGACAAGGTCTCTCTGTGTAGCCTTTGCTGCCCCAGAACTCACACTGTAGACCAGGCTGGACTCGAACTCACAGAGATCCGCCTGCCTCTGCCTCCCAAGTGCTGGGACTAAAGGCGTGCATCACTATACCAAGCTCTCACCCTAATTTTTAAGACCAGGGTCTCACTGAGTAGACTCAGTTGGCCTTGAACCCACAGGGACTCATTTGCTTCTGCTTCTGGGATGCAGTACCATTCCTGACTCACCTTATTTTAGTTGGTTTTTGTTTGTTTGTTTGTTTTGTCTTGCTTTTCAAATTTATTTATTATAAATATATGTCTGCACTGCAGAAGAGGACATCAGATCTCATAGATGTTTGTGAGCCACCATGTGGTTGCTGGGAATTGAACTCAGGATCTCTGGAAGAACAGCCGGTGCTCTTAACCTCTGAGCCATCTCTCTGTTCCTTTTTGTTTTTGTTGTTATCCTGGCTGTCCCAAAACTTTCTGTAGACCAGTCAGTCTGGCCTTGTACTCAGAAATCCACCTTCCTCTGCTGGGATTAAAGGCCTGCGTGTGCTCCCACCACTCGGCTGGCCCTTAATTAATTAATTATTTCATAGCTTATTAAGGTCTCTTACTGAACCTAGAGCTGTCTCGTTTCTCCGAGCTCACTGACCAGCAAGCCACTTGGGTCGGCTTGTCCTCCACCCCCCTTCTCAGCTCTAAGGTTACTAGGGAGGACAGCCACACCTGGCTTGTTTTTGTTTTTCTTGTGGGTACTGGGCACGTGAACTCAGGTCCTCACTTTACCCTCTGGAACTCTCTAATTAGACCAAGCTGGCCGGCCAATCAGTCAGTCCCAAGGCTTGTCTGGGATTACTACAGTGCCACAATGCATGTGTGTGTGGTGTTTAGCGTGAGTTCTGGGAGATCAAACAGACCTCTAGGTGCTGTTAGCAGCTCAAGTATCTCCCCAGCCTGACTTTGGGGTTCCCTCAGCCTGTGGCTCACTAATCCGCCTCAGGGGCAGTGTGGTTGTCTTGAGAACCCCGCACACTAGAGTGTGAGTGGAAGCCTGCCACCTAACACAGGTCCTTAGAGCTCTGAGTTGATCAGGAGCGCAGGTTCCTAGATAGGTTGGGGCCAGTGCTTATCCTCCCCCTGGGCCCAGAGCTGCCTCCACCCTTGTTTGGACTGTCGGGGGGGGGGGGGGGGGGGGGGGGGGCTTGCTGGTCACGTGGCCCTTGCTGGTCACGCGGCTGGGCGGCCTTGGTGACACCTGGAGCCCCACCCCCAGTCATCAGGTGCCTTTTCCCAGGAAGACTGGGATTTGGTTCCGGTGTTTGGGGCTTGTTTTTGTTGGAGATGGGGGGCAGGGTTTGAAACAAGGTCTCTCTCTCTGTGTAGCCCTGGCTGGCCTGGAACTCAAAATCAGGTTGGCCTCAAAGTCTGCCTCCTAAGTGCTGGGTTAAAAGCATGCACCCCATACCCAGCAGCTTTTTTTAATTTTATTTTTGAAACATGGTCTCACTAACATCAAATTCACAGAGATCTGCCTGCCTCCATCTTCCTAGTGCTGGGAACTGAACCTTGGTCCTCTGGGAGAGAGGCAAGTGCTCCCCATCACTGAGCCAAATCCCCTGTTGGTTTTTGTTGTTGCTGGTTTTTTTTTTTTTAACACACTGAGGTTTTTTGTTTTGTTTTTGCTTTTAAAGATTTATTTATTTCTTATGTATACAGTGTTCTGCCTGCATGTATGCCTGTGTACCATAAGAGGGCACCAGATCTCATTACAGATGAGGTTGCTGGGAATTGAACTCAGGACCTCTGGGAGAGCAGCCAGTGCTCTTAACCTCTGAGCCATCTCTAATCCCCTGCTGGTTTTGAGATAGGGTCTCTAGATGCAGCTCAGACTGGACTGCGTCAGCCTCTACCGTGTTGAAAATATAGGCGTGCACCACCACAGTTGCCAAGAGAATCCATACCAGTCCGGTCCTTTCCCTGGGTGCCATGGGTCCCATGGGTCTCTGGGCGCCCAAACCCTGCTCCTGTCTCAGCTGCAGCACTGAATGGTGTCTGGAATTCCCCATCTAATCCACACGGTTGCCCCACGCTTTTGGCCTTGGGGCTTAGGCCCAAGCCATGGCTTTCTGGGGGGTCAGGACAGTTGGAAAAGAGTAGGGTGCTGGTCTGGGGCTTCCAGCTGTCTTCATCAAGATGTCTGGCCTCACAGGGCCTGGTGGGGCCACACCTGTAATCCCAGTACCCAGGAAGGTGAAGCAGAATTGGGGTCCGAGACCAGCTTGGGGGTACATAGCAAGACTCAGTCTAAAATCTAGTAGACCCCATTTACCTGTGAACAGAACAGACTCATGGGCTCAGAGTTTCCATTCTAGACACAATAGATAAATCTGTGAGGTCATTCCAGTTGGTGTAACAGGACAGACTGAGGGGTGGGAGCCACAGGGGACCTGCTGGCCGAGGCGGCTCTGGAGGAATGGAGCGCAATGGGAGGGTAGTGTCCTTCACCACTGTGCTCACTCTTCCCAGGAACTCCCAAAGGTGTGGACTTCACAGCCGTGAAGAATCTCCTGCTGTCCGTGGATGGGGTGGAGGCCTTGCACAGCCTGCATATCTGGGCGCTGACAGTGGCCCAGCCGGTGCTGTCTGTCCACATAGCTATCGGTGAGTGAAGGTGAAGAGAAGCAGCCAGAGGCCCCGGCTGTTCCTGAGGGTGTGCCAAGCTCTGGCCACACACTGAGCATCCAAATGCCCTTTGAGCCTTACCACTGCATTTATGGAGAAAGATAACGGAGGCCTTGTTTGGGGTGGTCTGATCACTTCTGCAGGAGCACGGGCTGAGCGGGTCGGGGAGACACTTCAAGCTGTAAGGCCAGTGCTTTCCTTGCTCTCGGGCTTGTCTGGTGCGAGATAGCCCCTGGCATTGCTTGTCTCCTATCTGTGCCCCAGGGGTAGACGTGAGGCCAAGCATCCCACTTTTCTCTCTTCCCAGCTCAGAATGCCGACGCCCAGGCTGTGCTGAAGGTGGCTAGGGACCGCCTCCAGGGGAGGTTCAACTTCCACATCATGACCATCCAGATTGAGAGCTACTCTGAAGAGATGAAGGACTGCCAGGAGTGCCAGGGCCCCTCAGATTGACTATCTGGTCAGACACCATCCGAGGCATGGCCAGGACGCATGGCAATGCATTGAGTGTCCAGCCAGGACCCAGGTTCAAGGCATAGCCTGCCTTGGTCCATGCCAGTGGGACTCTCGTTGACCTCCTATGAGCCCACAGGAGGCCCCGGAGGCAGATGAGGATGTCCTTCTCCAGGACTGTGTTTGGGTTGGATCTTCAGCTGGTGTCCTTCCTAATGCCCCAGCTGGAAAGGCACAGAGGCACGGAAGGGGACTCTGGGGTGTCCTATACATGTCCAGACACCTGACTGGGCAGGCAGGCTCCCTTTTGTAGGGGTCAGTCTCTTTGATAAAAGAATTTTGAAACAGACTCAGAAAGATACTTTGAAGACCATTTTATTAGATTGTGGGAGGAAACACACACAAGCCAGGCAAGCTGTACATCTCAGTAGGTGCTGCGAGGAGGTAGGGAGAAGGGAGAAAGAAAGCCATGCCTTTGAGTTAGGGTCATCTGTGAAGTTCTGGAAACAGCTGAATGGCTGTAATGGGGGGTGTGTGTGCATGCGTGTTAACAAAACACTGAGAAAGCTCGGCGTGTTGGGGGCAAGCGGACTTAGGGTTTTGGTCAGTTTGGGGAGATCACTCTGGGTAGAGGCCTGCCACAGAGACAGGAATGGCACCTGGGTTTGGATGCTATGCACCTTGGACTTAGTGGGAGGTGGAAATAGGGTCCCTGGGGCTAACCAACCAGCTAGTCTAACCACATCTTTGCAATCTAGGTTCAGTGAGAGACCGTACCTCAAAAAAGAAGTTGGAGAGCAACAGAGGATGCAGCGTACACGAACACACACACACACACACACACACACACAGAGATTGAAAGAAGAGATAAAGGGGGAAAGCAGAAATCATGCTTTTGAATTAGAATTTGGGGAAACAGTCTAACTTAGCAGTTAGGTCTCTTAGCAGAGAGCCAGAAGTACCTTAATTAGGGGAGAATCGTGCCTTCCGCTCCTTGGGACGTGTCTGGGTACCGTCGGGCCCAACTGAATGAACTCTACAGAGAGCGTGTGTGGCAGTCAGAGGACAACTTGGGGTTCTCAGCACTTCATTGTGAGTTCCTGGAATCAATGACAGCTTGTCAGACCTGAGCCACCCTTGAGGGAGGGGACAGTGGTATGGAATGTTCTGATCTTTGGAGCAGGTTAGAATGTTCCATCTTTCACCCTGGGCCAGGGGTAGAACTTAGCTTCCATTCTTCTGACCAGTATGAATTGCTTCTAGGAGACTGGCCTCAAGGATCCCAGCCCCCCACTTGCTTGCCTTTCCCCAGTTGGTCCCCCCTGCAGCCCTTGGGAGCCCCTCTGCCCATAATGACTTACTGAGGCCACCTCTGAGAGGTGGGGCCAAAGGGCACCTGAGGCTTCTCAGTGTCTTGGCCACTTTGACTGTGGGTCCCATGTGACTTCCTGGAGGAGGCCTCTTAACTACAGAAGGACCTGGCTGGTTTCTTCCTTCCTGGTACCCCAGCCCAGGAAGCTGTCAGAGGTCACTTCTGACATAGAAACCTGGAACTTCGGGACACCTCCCCCACGGGCCTGTGAAGACAGCCAAGCCTGCCACATACCTGGTGGTTGTGTATGGGTCACTTTGATCAGTGTCCTGGAAAAGGGACTCCGCAGTTAAAGCTGTTGTCAAGGCCAGACCAGCTTCCCGGTTTCCTGTCTTCACTGCCCTGGCAGGTAAGAGGCTAAGTGTCCGCCTCCACCAATAGCATCCCACTTTTAAAATAAATGGCAAGCATCTATTATATGTTTGGAGTCTTGTCTTTAGGGTTTTTGAATTTTTTATGTGTATGAGTGTTTCACCTTGTAGGGCATGTATGTGCACCATGTACATTGGAGGCCAGAAGAAGGCGTCAGACCCCCTGGAACTCAAATTAGAGGTGGTTGTAAGCCACCATGTGGGTGCCGGGACCGAAGCCAGAACCTCTTAGCCCTGAGCCATCTCTCCAGCACCTTAGTTTGGTTTTTGTTTTAAGACAGGTTACTCAGGTACCCCAAGATGACCTAGAACTCCTGATCATCTTAAAGCTTTTATATACTTTATTTATTTTATTTTATTTTTTTAAACTTTTTTTTATTTATTTACTTAACTTTATTATGTTTGTTGGTGTAAAGGTGTCAGATCTCGTGGAACTGCATTTTCAGATAGTTGTGAGCTGCCATGTGGGTGCTGGGAATCGAACCCGGGTCCTCTGGAAGAGCAGTCAGTGCTCTTAACCGCTGAGCCATCTCTCCAGCCCCTATATAGTTTATTTTTATTTTATGATTTTTGCCTGCACGTATGTCTGTGTGAGGGTGTCAGCTCCGGAACTGGAGTTACAGACAGACAGGTGTGACTTGCCACGTGGGTGCTGGGAATTGAACCTGGATCCTCTGGAAAAGCAGCCAGTGCTCTTAACCACTGAACCATCTCTTCAGCCCCTTAATTTTTTTATTTGATTATTATTGTGTATCCGTGCACAAGTATGGGCATTTGTGTTCCACGGTGCGTGTGGGTCAGAGGTCAACTTTCGGGAACTTGTTTTCTCTTTCCGCTGTGGGTTCTGGGTCACCAATCTTGTACTTCCGCCTAGAGTGGTCTCTCTGGCCAGGTTTCTGATCCTCTTGCCTCTTCCTCCTAAATGCTGGGATTACAGGTATACTGCAGATACATCTGGCTCTTTCAATTTTTAATTTTAGATAGCCCACGCTAGCCTGTAATTCCCATCCTCCTGTCTCAGCCTCCTGAGGAGGATTAGAGCATGAACCACTCACCACCTGACCTCTCGTTTGACCCTCTCCCCATCTGTTAAAAACAAAACTAAGAACAAAAGAACAAACTCTGCCTCTCAGCACTGTGAGCGCCCACCCCTCAGCCTCCATTAACCCCAAGATTCTGGATATTAGGGTTATCTGTGTGCCATACCTTTGTGCCTCTCAAGAGCTGGTCATCGCTGTCCTTTTCACGGTTGCCAATGTTCTGAGATAGATCTTGTGCACGTGGTCTAGACTAGCCTGGGTCTCCTGCCCTGCCTCAGCCTCCTGAGTGCTGTAGCGACTATAGACATGAGCTTCTGGACTGTCTTCCTCTTTCTCTTAAATAGTATTTGATTGTGTGTGTGTGTGTACACGTGCGCGTAGTTATCTGCATATGAACCATGTGATTGGGTGTCTGTGGAGACCAGAAGAGAGTGTTGGATGCCCTGGAACAGAAGTTATCGGTGTTTGAGCCACCCAGTGTGGTTGGGAACCCAGGCAGGGTCCTTTGCAAGAGTAGAAAACGCTCTTAAGCACTGAGCCATCTCTCCAGTCCCCACAGGTTTCGTTAAAACCAAGGTTCAGAGAGGCTAAGTCACACAGCCGGCATGAGACACGTCCCGCATACCCTGGGTAATCTGTTACCGCAGGGGTTGAGACCTGCTGAATCCAATGCTGCCTTCCACACGGGCACAACCAACGGAAGGCAGCCTATTGTCCTGCAAAGGTGTCTCCTGTCCCCTGGCTGGCGCTGGCACTGGGTGCCCTCCATCCTTGGCAGGCTGCCTAGACAGCAGCTGTACAGATTCCTCACCCTCAAGTGCTCCTGACAGCGGGCCAGGCCACCACCCCCCACTTTAATCTCTAGTCCACTCTTGCACCTCAAGCATCTGACAGCTCCTGGCTTCCAATAAACGGCCCACTTTCCACACCGGGCTGTGATAGGATCCAGGAAGGACCTGAGTCATACAGGGGCCAGGAGGGAAGCTGCAGAAAGGGGGTGAGAGGCCTCAGGGGACAGACTGTTCCGGCCAGCAACCCAGTCACGGGAGTTTCCACAGTGGCTCAATCCATCAAAGAAGGAGAACACCTGATACCTTGGGCCTGGGTTAGACCCCACCCCCACCGTCTGGAGTCACCCCAGGCCCCCACTACGCTCCCCCTTGACCCTGAGCGCCCGCCACACCATGCAGCTGCTGCGCGGGTATTTATAGCCTGAGCGTGAGTGGGCAAGGACACGTGCTTTATTTCGGAAGTGATAATTCCAGTTCCAGGTGGACGAACCAAGAAAAGTCCCTCCCAGACTCCACTCTTACCTACAGGACACCGAGAACAGCCCTTTCCCCGCAACCAGCGCAGTTGTGAACAGCCCAAACTTTGAGTGTGCAGGCCAAAGTGAGCTTCTGTCATATTCCTCCCGAGTTTCCAGACTGGGGGCTAACACACACCCGTGCCTCGACTTCCCCTCAATTCGCCCTCTGGCTCAGTCTTTAACTCCATAGTCTGGCACTGTGGCTCACGCCTGTAACTCTACTTGGGAAGCTGAGGCAGTAAGCCTGGGTTTACAGAGTCAGACCTCGTCTCACTTCTCATGTCCACCCTCCCCCCACCAAAAAAAAAAAAAATTGAAAGCCAGGATGTAATGGTGAACACTTTTAATCCTAGCTCTCTGGAAAGCAGAGGCAAGTGGATCTCTGTGAGTTCTAGGCTAGCCTTGTCTACTGAATGAGTTCAGGACAGACAGGACTATACAGAGAAACCCTGTCTTGAAAAAATGAAAAACGAAAGAAAAAAATTCAAGAAAGCAAAAACAAACACCAAACTCCATTCCTTTGAAGGGAGAGTAGTGTAGCTGACCTCTAGTGGTTAAGGCTGGTAGTGCAGTACGGCCAGTTTGGTCGCTCCAGAGACCAGCATTTGCCATCTCTGGCACACAACACCCTAAATTCTCCAGTTATTCCTGAGTCCTGGCTTCTTTGCTCACTCTTGATTGAGCCTGGCAACCTTGGTGTCTACGGATGTCTGCTTTCTTTGTGGACTAAGAACCCCAGAGCAGGGGATGGAGTTTTGTCTCGTGCACACTCTGCCCGCCCACTTTCCACAACGCTGATATCCAGTTAATACTCTTGTAACTATAGGTCAAATATTTACGATGAGCGAGGCGGTGGTTGGCGCACACCTTTTAATCCCAGCACTCGGAAGGCAGAGGCAGACGGATCTTTATGAGTTCGAGAACAGCCTGGTCTACAAGGCTAGTTTCAGGATAGCCAGGGCTACAATTGAAACCCTGTCTCAAAAAAAAAAATTAAAAAATAAAAAACTTACGATGCACCTGTCAGATCAAAGAGAGGAGGGCAAGATCCGCCCTCCGGAGCTCCCAGGCCCGTCCTGAGGCCCGGCGGTGTGCACAAGCACTCAGTGTGAACCGTGCCAGGGCTTCGAACCACCAAGGAGGTGAGTGGGCATGCGGGTTAGGGATGGATCAGGCAGAGGTACAGAGAAAGGCATTTCTGGGACCGGGATCGGCTTGTGCCCCGGCCTGTGCCAAACGCAGATTTGCCTCAGCCAGGGGGAGACCCCGCCCCTCTGGGCGCCCTGTCGTGCCCGGCCAACCCAGACGTGACTTTTATCCGTAAAAAGTTTTGATTGGTTGTCTCCTGTCCAGCAGGCAGGTGCAGCGCTTTACCTAGGGTTTCTCTAGACTGCGGTACTTCTTGCGTTGCACGGACACCGGGTCCTTGAACAGCACCGGGTCCATTCGCACTCGAGAGGACACCAGAGGCATGTGGCCGAACCTTGCTGCCACATGGTTGATGCAGTCCTGAGCCAAAGGCTGAGGCTCGGGTCTGGGCCCAGGTCCCTCAGCGACCTAAGAGGTGGAAGGGAAACGTATCCACGAAGCTTGTCTGAGCCCTCACCCCTGCTGCGGCAAGAGCTGGATTAGTCTGCAAAAGAGAATCCGCCCTCTTTCCTTTCCCAGCCCGTGCTTTCCTAGTGCGGACCAGTCCCAGGGGTCCTCTCACCAGCGGAGCGGCGTCCTGGCGCTGCCTGCCATAAGGCACCTTGATAGGGGGCAGCCTGGTGACAGTTGCTACCAGGAAGTTCATCAGGACGTCCACACAGGCAGGCGTGTCGTCTACCAGGGTCCTCAGGGCCTTACTCAGGGAGTGGGTGAAGAGGGTGTGGTAGTACCTGTGAGGTGTGAGGTAGGCTTTAGGGGGATGGGAAAGGCTGCAGGCAGGATCCATTCACCTTCCTTGGGCCCCAGACCTGAAGCTGTTTTCCAAGACCTGTACGCCACCTCCTCACAGGGAGCTCCTGTCCTGGGCATGACCAGGCTCTCCAAGTGCCCTGTGGCTTAAGAGATGGGCAGTAATGTATCCTGTCGCTACAACCCCTCCTTGGGGCCCACCTTCTGGGCTCCCAAGTCTGAACTCAGTCAGACTTGGTGGCAGGGGGAGTATTAGAAGGTTCCAAAGCCGTCAAACATGGCTACGCAAAGACCAGCTTCAGGGAGGCTGTGTACAAGCTGGGCCCCCTCTGCACACGAGGATTATCCTTCTCCATCCTGAGAGCCAGTTCCGTGATACATGGATGAGGTTTAAGTGCATTAAAGAATCACTTTCAAGAGGCCCCGGAAGCCAGGCCTGGTGGGGAACAGTGTCTGTAATCTCAGCCCTCAGCTGTATAGGGAGCCTGTCTCTGAGTCAGGGTTTCCAGACATCCCAGGCTGACCTCAAACTCACCACGCAGCTGATGCATCCTTGAACTCCTGGTCCCCCTGAGAAAGTGCTGGGATTACAGCTGTGTGCCAACATGCCCACTTTTAGTCAGGATTGGGAATGGAATCCAAGGCTTTGCACATGTTACCCAAGTGCTCTGACCAATTGAGCTAGCTTCCCAGCCCAGCTCAAAGAGGAGAAGCCCCCAGATCACATCACTGGGAAGAGGTTTATCTAGGCCTTGACCCTTGACTCCAGACAGCAGG